GGGGGGGCTGAAATTTAAAAAATATATATATATATGCACAAATTTTTTTATGAAGTATAGAACAAAAAATTTCATCATGACATTACTTATTGAAGTTGTGTCCGTCAAGCTTTGACTGCATAAAACTTGTCTATAAAAAGGAGAACAACGTTTTCCACTTCTTAGCGCCAGATGATTGGCAATGTTCCATTTGTAACTATAGAGCTAGAAAGTTTATCCATTGAAATAAACGAATGAAGTCATTCAATTAGATTTAAAAAAAAAACATGAAAAAACTTAAAATCATACTAACAAAGTATTATTCTAAACATGGAATTGTATTTTTACAATTTCACTTAATTTTCCTTGTACATTATATCATACAAACAATAATGTGTAAAACCAATAAGAGAATGATATGTTCCTCCAGGGAATAGCCCAGTGGTGCAAATGACAGGAGTGAGGTTATCTCACGCTTTGATAGTGGCCGCAGTGTGGGGGTTCGATTCCTGAGATATGGAATTTGACCCCTTGTAGGCGCAGTATACAGACAACTCTTATTCCCTGGCCTGTTGGAGCACATCCCACGATTTACGTCCCTCATAAATCTCTAGGGACAGGGTGGTCGGAGCCCTCAAGGTTGGGGTTCAACCTTTTTTTAATAAAAGAATGATATGCCATTTCAACAAACACTTTGTCTACAAGATTAAGGAAGAGATTGCATGCTTCTAACTATATTGTATTTCAAAACTTTCTGTGTCCTACCACCCAAAAATACAAGCAAAGAAAAATTCCATTTGTTAGATTTTAGCCTGTGCAAAAAGCTCTCTTTCAAAAACTCCAAAAATCCGCAAATTTATTACTCAAAATCCAGAGTCTCTTCTGTATCCATTCAGTCGACACTAATGACTAGTTTGGTTTGTGAAAAATGTTCCTATTGTGACTTATTCAAACAATTTCTTGTCTTTATTTTATCGATAGAAATTCAACTTTACAATTTCGAACAAAACATAGCATTTTGTTATTGTGCATAAAATAACAACCAGTCTATACCTCAAAATTCTGTGTTGTGGTGGACGGTGAAGAATCGAAGTCGGACTCGAAGATGAACCGTGAACTAAAGAACGTTGTTGCCAGCAGTATCATTTTTCTTTCTGGCTTGCTGAGGCGTGGACCTTCGGGGGTAAGATTACATTATCATTAATCATGTCTTAACTAATATTATTCAAAAATCAGGCGTCAATTATATTTTTATTTTTTTAAAAAATTATTTTAATATTGTTAATTTATTTATCAAATAATGTCTGCTTAGTAATTAATCCGGATTTGTAGGTTCATTAATTTCAAAAACTCATAAACGTAGAGAGAGAAAATAAAATCCATTTTACAATCTTCATTATTCAGTACATTCGTGGAACCCTCATCTTCGTTAATAACTCCAGTGGGTTCATTGAAAATTGTCTAACGGGTTCATTGAGATCCCGATGGTGTTGAATGCCAATTTGAAATTGACTCACGCTCAAACTCCGGTTAACTTCTCGTTTTCTCTTCTTCTTTACTAGTTTTTCTGTTGATTATTCAGGGAAGAGGAATAATAAAATTGTTGATTGATGACTGCAAGTGTTCGAATCATTCCATCTCTTCGTTTTCATTTATGATTAATAATTTGTTAAACTTGACATATGTTTTGGTTTTTATGTTAGTTTTTAAATAAAACCGTTTGATTTCTATTAATTGCATTTCATATCTTAGGTATATTAAAATATAATTTGAAATTTGGAATCAATTTAGCTTTTTCCCAGTGTTACGAACACAAACCGTTCGTAACAAAATAAAAGTTTGTTTGGCACTTGGTCGCTTGGAGGATCCAACTGCCTGCCAATTAAAACACCCATTGTCGATTTTGAAGAACTGGTCTCAGAGCCCCATTTTCATATCCGAGTTTACATATCGTGTTAAAATATGTGAATGGGTATGTATATGTGGTTTCTCTTGGAATTTTTTAGAAGAGGGTAGAATTATGAAACTTTTGAAATTGATTTTGTGAGAAGTTTAAAAATTTCAATTTCAGAATTTTTGGTTTATATTTATTTATGCATACTTATGGGCAATCTACTTTAGTTTAGAGCTAATTGTCATGGTTTCTTGACCATTGGACGTAGAAATTTATTCATCCCGACCAAGATAAACAAGTAATCTATGAAGATTGTGACCTATATAGTTGTATTTAGTTGTTTTCACTATTTTGCAAAATCAAGTCAGCCCTTTTTGATATTGATGCTATGCCGATTTCTTTGTTCCAGGAACGCTGATATATAATCCTCGAAGCCAATAGGTTTATGGATAAAATAACCACAAGTTCAACAACAAACGTGATTAACTTTGTCTTTTGTCTTTTATTAAGATCTGGAATGAGCTCATACAATTTTTCTTGATTGTTTAGGTGCGTAATATTTCCTTTACTATCCAGAATTGTGGCTTTATCGTGTTGATCCAATGGAGTTGAAGACAAACATTGTTAGTGACATTTCCAACAGTAAAATGGGTAAGTTTGTGACATCATTTGCCAATTGTAAACACAGGATTTAATGTTATGTTCATTCCTAATATATTGTTTTGTATTTTTATCCAGCCATGATTTGCACTGTATTCATGTTTAAACATGTTGATGTCTTCATGATTTTAATATACTTACTTCACAATGACCTTGAAAACATGTCGATGTCATTTGATGGTAATAGAGTTGGGACGGACATAGCTTCTTTACTGTTTAAACATTGGCGGATTAGGCAAGCCACAAAGCGATGAAAAAAGAAGAAAGCTGAATGATTGATGTGTTCATTTTATTTCAAATTTATTAGCTTGATAGATAGTAGTTGATGTAATATGTGGACAAAACATTCAATATATATGAATATGAATTTTTTTTGTATTGATTAATACAATTCATTAGTTTGTTTATGTTGCAGGTGAAATTTTGGATGTGAGAGGTACTTGTCATTTAAGCACGTCATTTGAGATTTATTTATGTTATTTAAGTGGGTTGCTTAATTTCTTCATGTTGTCGAAAAATATTGTTTGACAATGTCATTGGACACAAGTCATAGGTCAAGGGTAATTGGTCACAATTCATATTTCATAGGTCATAAATCATATGTAACTGATGACGGGATACATATTATTATATGTAATTGGTGATAGATACTGTTCCGTGAACACAAGTCACATGTCATATGTTACATTTTACAAATCACATTCTGCTTTGATGGCATATCCCAGTTCGTATATAATTTGTCACGATAATATGTCATAGGTCATAATTCACATTCTGCATTGATGACATGTTACACTATATATATGTATTCGGTTACCATTCCTAGATCACTGCTCTCAGGTCACAAATCACATATAATTGTTCAAAATCATATGTCATACATCACAGGTCTCATTGCATTCATGATAGGTCAAAACTAGACATATATCTGGTTACATCTTCCGAATTACGAGTCATATTGATCACATGTATCATGTCACAGGTCAAAGGTTATATTCTAAATTGGTAACAAGACACAATCAAATAAATATATAGTTAACTTACATTAATATATATGTCACATGTCACAAACAAAATAGATAACCTGTAGATAAATTATTTCTCTTAATAGGGAACTGTTGCACAAACTAACAAGTAATATGATATAAAATGTTAGTGCCACAATATATTAATAATACAAGTCACAATCACAAATAGAATAGAAAAACACATCTACTGTGTCACATTCATGCATACATTTTATGAAATACTAATTGTTGTTAAAATTTTATGACATGGTCACAAACAAACTATTGTTAAAAACTTAGGAAATACAAGTTCATTTTTAACATGTGTCTCATCACAAACAATCATAGCTAACCCGGACCTGATCATGTAGAGTCACAAAACTTATATTTGGTCACAAATAGTAACAATTAATGGAGATCTGATCACAAACAATCACCGTTAACATATATCTTGTTACAAACAACACAGAAAATACATCCAGTAGGTTAGAAAACAGTAAGAATATCAGCAACATGATTGTGTTTTTATGATTGATACATAACAAGCTCTCTTTCAAATTACATCAAATTCATTTTCAAACTAATTTGCCCTTGTGACTGATACATAAAAAATGTCATGTCATGTTCTTCACTATTTAATCCTCAAATTTGAAACATCTTGAAATCAAACATTGAAGTAATGCACCGTTATCATAGTCAAGTTGAAAAAATTGATCATTAATGACCACTTAACATAAACACAATGATTACATCATTAAAAAATATATATATTAATCAGTACTTTCAACATTGATGAATCTGATAAAACAATTACATAAATCAGTAAACATTAAATTGGGTTCGAATCTGAATTATTGATGACTAGATTGTGACTTTCAATTTGAAATTTCATTTAGGGAAAATTACATCCGAGGGACCAAACTTTTTGTTTATTAGCAGACTTTGCCCAAACCTTCATTTTGTACCATCCACAGTCACACACCTTTCAAAAATATGCATCGGGAGTCCAAATGGATGGAAACCATCCAATTAACCGTTAGTTGACCAAAATTTTTTATTTTGACCAATTTCAAAAGGTTAAAATAGTAATTTTAACCATTATATAATACATAATAAAAATAAAATAATAAATAATGAAAACAAGTATCGACAGCGCCCCACCCCACCCCACTTGCCCACCCCCAACCCCATCCGGAAATTAGACCCACGATAACACAGCTCCGTCACTCCTAACGTTACTTGAGGCGCCGTGGAAGGTGGCGGAGTGGATGTAGAAACGGTTGGGCTGAGTCGAAGCAAGCACCGAGGAAAACCACCTATCCATGACTGCGAACTCGTTCACCAACTCAGTATAAATCAGTACCAGATCTGGTTTGAACCCACTCATAACGGTTTTGGACAATCCATCAACCCCCATAGCCTTTGCCTGCTGCACAAAACCGTTCATCGGCGCCGGGTTTGCCAACGTGTCATTTGACCCAAGTATCTATTCCCGGATAGCTTGAATTGAGTTATCCGGGTCCGACGCAATAAAAAATGCATCGTCTGAAACGTGTACAGGAGTAGAGCCGGAGTCAGAGGCGTTGACCCGGTTGAATTCGGATCCGCTAAGACCATCGATATCTGGACGGCTGCTTTTCAACCATCCAAGCATGTGATCAAAGGAGTGATTTTCCATTACCAGTACTACAATCGTTTTGATGGGGCCATCAATTTTGTGCTTTTTATGTCTCTTGGGGAAGTGAAAGGAGAAAGAATTAGACGGGAACAAAATGAGGAAGAGGAAAAGAAAAATAATTAAGTGCGATCACCGGGAACCTATTTTTCGGTGATCCGCCGGGGTAGGGTAGGGGTGAAAGAGATCAAGATGCAAATTTCTTTTTGTTTTTGTTTTTATCTTAATTTTATTTTTAAAAGGTTAAATATGTGATTGACGTAAATGCCCTTACCAAATTTGGTCAAAATCAAAAGTTTTGATCAACTAACAGTTAATTGGATGGTTTCCATCCATTTGGACTTCCGGTGCATATTTTTAAAAGGTTTGGAATTGTGGATGGTACAAAATGAATGTTTGGGCAAAGTCTGCTAATAAACGAAAGGTTTGGTACCTCGGTTGCAATTTTCCCTTTCTTTTATTCGACTTGAAGATGTTGATAGATTTATTACTACAGAAGTCTTAAAATTCTATGACTTCGAACCAGATAGTTTTACTCTTCAAAGTCACGGTAATGATCGATTTGTACTTTCATTAATTTTCTAATTTTGTGACTTCAAATTTAATATTTTTGCTCTTCGAGGTTATGATGTTGTCAATCTGTGATCTCAATGATCTTCTACCTTTGGTTTATTAGGTTTCCGACAAGGATGGTGGTGACTTCGACGGTGGTACGATGGCGTGGGTTTGAAATTGAGTGTCGGATGGTTTTCTCTTCTATAAAGTTGTGGAAAGAGTTGAATTTGGATGAAGTTAGTAACTGAATTAAGATATGGAAATTGATTATAAAGCATAATTGAATCCTCTGTTTTAGGAATTGACAAAGATGTAGCCGAATATAATATATTATCATTTCAATTCTCCATAATTAAAGATAATAAATTTAATTAAATTATTATCAATTTTTTTATCTATGACCTGGTTTTTGAAATAAATCTATAAGTTCGTCAAATTCAAAAGTATATTTTGAAAGGTAGGTAACTTTATTTTTCCCTTTGAGAAATACGAATGGATGATTTAAAGCTTAGGTGGGTTACTGGGTTCGGACTTTGGAATGGAGTCCAACAGCAGGCTAATTATAATTTTGGATTGGGTTTGGATTTAATGATTTAATGGAGTCAGACAGTGGGCAAATGCATGATTTAATGATTAGGTGGTTACTGAGTTTGGACATTGGAATGGAGTCAAATAGTGGGCTAATTATTATTTTGGGCCGGGCTATAATTTCTTTTCCAGAAATTTTATACACAAAAATGGTATCTGGGCTACCCCCAAATTCGCCCCTTATTAATTATAACTTTCCAGATGACCTTTGAGGCTGTATAATCAGCAAAATGGGAAATTTCTTTATTTTGTTGGTCAATAATATGAAATTCTGGGCAAAATTGCACATAAAATTAGCATAGTTCTTCACAAATCCTATGGTTTTTAACCAACATTGTGTGCCACATAAACTAGAACAATGATTGGATTGATTAAGAGATGGGATCTACTTTTTGTTGAGTGATTGGTTGATTATAAATTTGGTGGGTTTGTTTTTGGAATGAGCTTCATTCTCGGACGGTGGTGTGGTAAGATAGGGAAGGTTGGAGTGGGTAAGGGGTGGGTTGGAGAAGATTAACATTTTTTTGGTTTACATTACATCTAGACCATTAGATTAATTCAAGTGAATGACCTTGATTATTTGTCAAATGGTTTCGTGTAGGAGGCGCGATTAACAGGCATAACGTTTATAGAGTTAGTCTTACTAATAGTGACCAAAATAGAAAAATAACAATGAACACAAAATGCCTGACATCAGTGGCGGATCCAACACTCGGGAACAAAATTTTTTTGTTGACGGTAGATAATTTTTTTGGGTTATATATCTGGTAATTCAATTTTTTTTTCTTTTTTCCAAACATCTTTATAGCTTATTTGGCTAGAGGTTTGACATAAAAATTGGAGGTCCAGGGTTTGAATCCTTCCTAACTAATTTATTGTGCAATATTTGTAGTTCTAAAATTTTTACCAAAATTAATACCATAGGGAGGAGATATAATTTATTGTCAAACATCTCTTATAACTCATTTGCTTAGAGCTTCCACAAAAAATTGGTGGTTCAGTGTTTGAATCCTTCAAAACCAATTTGTTGTGCAATATCACTAGTTTTAAAATGTTTACCAAAATTGATGCAATAGGGAGGGGATTCAAACCCGTGACCCTTCTTTAAGATAACTTAAGGCTTTACTATCTTGACATTTGTTGAATTTTGACACTAAGTACAATGGACTAATATATATTCTATTTTAGTGGTTTTAATGCAATTTCGAGGATTCAAACCTATGCTATTCCTTTAAATCATTCAAAACCTGGCTACTCTGTCATTCAGTGAATATTGTTAACATTTATTACAAAATTATATATGTTTAGTTTTAGTAAAGTAATTATTATATTTGATTTTTAATATTTTATTACGACTGATAGTCAAAGGTCAACCAATGTCTATTCGTGTTCATTCAAAATTCTGGATCCGTCACTGCCTAACATGATTAATCGAGGACTCCTCAGAAGTAATGATAAGGAAGTAAAGAATTGCTTAAAGTTGCACACATATATTTTCCAAGTACTTGTATTTACTTTAAGTAGAATGAAGAAAAGTATTAATACCTTGCCCTATGAATTATATTTACTTTATGCTTTTTGTCTAATCGTATGATATAAGTTTTTTGAATTCAGAGTCTATAAATAGAGTCCATGGATTAGAGGAACCACACACCTCTCCTAGCTAACCATAATATCTCATCTCACTCATTCCAATGGCTCCGTCAGAAATTGTGGTCAAACGCTCTGGATTTCCCAAGGATTTTATTTTCGGTGCTGCAACATCGGAATATCAGGTGTGCAACTAATTATTTTATGTTTTTGTATGTCATATCAAGCAGTATTAAATGGAAGAATGGACAAGAATTCAGCATATTTTTAGTTTGTTATCACTATCCTCTATTTTACATACACCTTATCAAACATACCACTAACATTTGGAAAAAAATGAAGATTTTCTAATACCATTATCAGAATGCAGGATTACATATCTAAGGGCTTTGTGATGGACCAACCAACTCCTTCATTACACCTATATGTGATAGTCAAAGTATTTCTTTGTCATATTAGTTTACCTAAATTTTGTCATTCTATTCATTGTGATAGATCCCACCTAAATAGAGGCCAAAGGTTCTAATTTTCCAAGGAGTATATCTTTGATGCTATAACATCGGCTTATCAAGTGTATTGCTGGTATATTTTAGAATTGGACACGAAAATGGACAATTCTGTAGCCTATAATTATTACTTCGTTAACACTGTCCAATATATTATATACCTTATCGAACATTCTATTACCATTGAGAAGAATGAAGATTTGGTATAACCATCTTTAGAATGAACTAATACATATGTTAGAAGGTCCATTAACATGTAATTTAATTTTCCTGTTTTCTTCTTGAATTTTGGATATACAATTTACTTTATGGGATTTACGTTTAATTGCTGCAGGTCAAAGGAGCTCGGAATGCAGATGGTAAAGGCAATAGTAAGTAATTGGAATCATATGAATCTCTCTCTCTCTCCTCTAGTTTGTTAATTAGTATGTGTTTGTACTAATACAGATGCAAACATAACTTTAAATTGAATAAATATAAAAATATTAACCAATATTATGAGCTTAGGGTACTCCTTAAAACAAGTTCGATAATTTGAGATGAAAATCTCTATTCTTAATATTTTATCAAGTTACCATCTCATGAATGCATGTTAAGCAAATAATGCCAAAATAGTTATATATAAAGCATTAATCAATATATAATGGCTTATGCTACTCCTTTTAACAAAATTAATACGTTAAGATGAAATTCAAAATACCAATAATTTATAAATACACTAGAAAGTGTATTTTTTTTTTTTTTTTTTTTGGGTACACGGTGATCATTGTTGAGCTTACATTTATGTTTATTAATTGGAGTGGCAGATAGCAGTGCGGACGGAAAAAATGGGAGTGTCGCTCTCGATCAATATCATATGTTCAAGGTAAATGTACTTATCTATTTAATTATTCATCTTACAAGATGATAATTCATTTAGTGAACTAAGTATGAAAGGAAATGTAACCAAAATATGTAACTAAAATCTAAAGTATACTTCCTTTCCTGTATCAGAATTCCATGTCAATTCAATCACTAATTGATGCAGTCATTCGATTTATCCCAAACTATAATAACTTTTAAACTTTTCTCTCTTTTCTAAAAACTCAACATTCCCAAGAAAACTGAAAACCTACCACCATTCCCTCAAGAGTTCCTTTTGCTCCTCCATTTTCAATATTTTTATCTCCACATGCGTAAAATTTGGAATCATGAATCTGTGGCTTGAAGTACTTGTTGGAAAAATGGAGCTCTCAAAAAAATTCTCACAAATAATAAGAGGAGTGGAAAATAAATTGAACAAACAACTTTAAACGAGGGAATGAATCTTTTTATCATATAATACAAGAAATAATTCGTCCCCAGAATTGAAGTTATAAATTCATGACCAGTATTTTGAACATAACATTCGAGTTGATACTTTGTTAGCGTTTGAAGTCTAATATTTCAATTTTGTATATAAAAAAAAAAGGTAGAAAAGATTTTAAAAAATTAAATTACTTTTTTGATCCAATAAAGCAAGAACGGTTTTCGTCCCCGGTGTTGAAAATAATAAATCCGCAGCTTTTATTTGGAACATTACATTCAAAAATGATTTGATACTTTGTTAACGTTTGAAGTCAAAATTTTTAATTTTGAAAATGAGGGAAAAAAATTTATATATGTTATAATTGACTGTACTCTAATTAAAGCCACCAAAATTATGTGTTTCATTGTAAATTGTACTCATTTTTTACAATGTTGCAGGAAGATGCGTGTTTGATGAAGAAAGTTGGTTTGAATTCTTTTAACTTTTCGATTTCGTGGTCCAGAATCTTACCAGGTATTGGACTTTACATCAACAAAACTAGAAAAATAGATTTTTTATTTCAATATTGAATATTTAGAGCTTGTGCATTATTTTATTTCAAAGAAAAAATTTCTAATTAATCTAGTTTTTAGGCTGAAGTGATATTTTTTGCTTAAAATTTTAAATGACTGTAGTGCCTTCTATCAAAATCCTCACTAGGCAAAATAGACGAGATTCTTGACAATTTAGAGTTTATTGTCTTCATTGAAAGTAAGGACTAGGGTGTCTAGATGGACTAGAAATCCTCGTCAAACTTGCTTAGTTATCAACCCGAAATTCATGGAAATGACATAATTTAAAAAAAAAAAAAAATTGATGAGGAAATTATATCTTTGTAACAAATGACAAAAAGTTATTAAAATTAGAAGTTAGATTATTTTAAAAAGAAAAAAAAAAGTCTCTAATATGACGTTGCCAAGCAGTTTCCACAATTTTAGTGTCAAGTAATGGTTCCTTGTTTTTATTTTGATTTATATATACCTTATTTTGATATTTTAGGAGGCAAATTAAGTGGTGGCATAAGCAAAGAAGGAATCAAATACTATAACGATCTCATAGATGCACTTTCGGCACAAGGTTAGACTTTGTTATATATAAAATTTACATGTTTATTGTTTCTTTAAGAAACTAATGTTACATCTAATTTAATTAATTCATAATTGAGGTTCAAAGTTGATATTGTTTTGAAATCATCTCTTTTTACGTGTAATCTAAAATAAAATCAAAAGATATTACCTGGCACTCTCTAATTACTTTTGTGCAGGCATTGAGCCTTGGGCAACTCTCTTCCACTGGGATGTTCCCCAGGATTTGGAAAAAGAATATCATGGCTTCTTAGATCGTCAAATTGTGTAAGTAACTCAATCTTGCATCGCAAGGAAAATCTTGTGGTAAATATTAGCAAAAGAATTAAGTGAAGTTCATTTCTCAAACACTATATATCGGAGGAAAGGCACAAATGTTTTGTTTAAAGAAAATGGATATTAATAAGTGATAGAATAATGGCAGATTGATCTCTTCTACAAAGATTAATGTCATATGTGAAAATTACCATCTATGTGTACATTACACATATATCTTGATGTTAACTTGTTTAACATTGCCATTGTAGGGACCATTTTCGTGATTTTGCTGAGATTTGCTTTTGGGAATTTGGTGATCGAGTGAAACGTTGGATCACACTGAATGAGCCATGGACCTTTTGTTATTATGGATATGTGATGGGCAATTTTTCCCCTCGAAATGAAACTTCTACGGAGCAACAGACAAAATCGATGGAACAACTGATGCGTTCCTCGATCCTTCATTACACATGTGCAATGACTATTCCTCAATTTACTCCTCCAAAAAAAGATCAGGCCGGAAAAACTGATTCCTCTGAAGGAGATCCAATCGGAGACCTAGATGCCATGGCACAAAAGTTGCTTCACCATACTTCCTCAAATGGAAATCCGGGAACTAATCCATATACTGTGGCACACAATTTGATCCTTGCTCATGCACATGCGGCTAATATATACAGGAAATATTATCAGGTTTTCATTTGAATATTTCACACATACATATATAAATAAACACTTTCGAGATTTAATTATTGATTATAAATATAACTACATTTGTACATAAAGGAACACCAACGAGGCAAAATAGGGATGGCAAATGTTTCAACGTGGTTTTATCCACTTAGGGACAACTCCCAGGATGATAAAGATGCTGCTTCGAGGGCACTTGATTTTATGTTAGGATGGTAATTACTGCATGTGCTTGAGTAGTTTATCGTTACCAAGTGAAATTTCTCTTCATCTCTGTTGATTCCTAACTCTCCAAATGAAATTAATGTACAGGGAAGTACTTTAGATTGGATTTCATTATCGAAATTTCATCTATTCTATTTTGTTTATCCCTTAACCTGTTTATAATTTTTTTTTATTTTATTATTATTATTATTATTATTATTATTATTTTTTTTTTTTTTAACATTCGATATACTTTTGTAGAATTTCAGGTAGTACTTCTATCGTAATCCTTTATTTGGCACATTTCTCCTGTTCAGGTTTGTAGCCCCTGTAATATTTGGTAATTATCCACCATCCATGAAAAATCATATCAGAGGAGGACGTCTTTCCAGATTTAATCCAGACGAGGTGGTGCTAGTGAAAGGATCCTGTGACTTCTTAGGCATAAATTATTACACGTCTTATTATGTCAAAAATATAAGTGGAAATATTTCACAACACCATTATGACAATGATCTGCATGTTGAATATCACAGTAAGTGCATTTCATTTATATTCTTTTATCTTGACATAAAATGGACACTACTAATAACAATATGTTTGCTACTCATTTTTTTTTTTGTAGCTCAACAAAATGAGAATCCTCAGCGGGTGAGCCATTAACATTACCCTTTCTGTGAGAAAAAATCTGAAAATGAATAGATTATTCTTATAACAATATAGGCATATCAAAAAATTATGGTTTTATATGATCGTGACAAAGACTCATAACATACAATCACAATGAATTAAAATACATATTATGGTTTACATAATTTCCAATGCTAACGTATAATCTAATGTAATAACAATCTTTTTTATTTCATGGTAGGTTGGTTGGCCATCGCTGTACATAGTTCCAGAGGGAATTTACCATCTCATGCTTCAGATGAAAAGAAGCTATCATAATAATTATAATAACTTTAAAAATCCCGAGATTATCATTACAGCAAACGGTATATAGTCGTGTTCATTTGTTTATTTATATTACAAAAGAATACATAAAAATTACTAGTTTTTTAGAGCATTTAGTGGTTTGTCGAATTCCTCCATCATCTTTTGTAGGGTTGGATGAAGTCAACAATAAAGACCTAGATATTTCAAAGGCTCACATTGATGAAACTAGGATTGAGTATCACAGGGACCATCTCGAATGCCTTAAACGGGCAATAGAGTAAGTCATCATTTGTTTTGCACATATGGTCAATTCGAAATAAAGTTGTATGTTTCGAAATTAATTGTCTAATTTTCCTTCATTTTCAGTCATGGTGTATGTGTGAAGGGTTACTTCATACGGTCATTGCTTGATAATTTTGAATGGGCCCAAAGGTACAATGTTAGGTCTGGCATTTTTTATGTATCCGATCCAAATGGATGTTTGACTAAATTCCCTAAAAGATCAGCTATGTGGTGGAGGAATTTCTTGAAAAAGCCTGAGTAGGTACATGATGTCAAAACTTAAGAAGAATGACATGGTACTGTGAAAAAGGTCAAGATGTGACAGTATAAAAACTTTAATTTATTAGGAAAAGTTGTGTTGAATAATGCAAGCATGGATGCATGCTTGACATCCCTTCAGTTTCATCATTAATTCTCTTGTTGGATGACACATAAAGAAATGTTATAATTTGCAGTTGTGTTGTTGAAATAATTGGAACCCTTTGAGGCTCCAAGTGTAATTCTCATGTTCTCATTTGTGCAATAAAAGATTTGAGGCCAACTGGCTTCGGTTCTAGTTAATTAGTATATTCTTTTGATCTTAATCATTAAAAATCATAGCAGTTCAATTAACCTTTGTGAAATGTATGAATAGAAGTTAAACTTTCTCATTTTGTTATCATCGTTCTCAACCTTTCACAAATGTAGTAGCAAAGAACTTGTTGGAGAGACAAGCACTTCGACTCTTGAAGGACCAAAATTGAATAGACAGAAAGTTTAGAGGACAAATTCACCTTAGAAGATCCAGGACTAAATTGAATGAACTTAAAAGTTAAAGGACAAAATTAGAAGAAAGTTAATAATCTGGTTTAAATCATTTTTGGATGGTCAACCGAAGGACTTATTGTCAGAATTCACTTATTTGTCCTCCAACCACACATACTTGAAGGTTTGGGACCATGGGTAGAACAAATTAAGGGTTAGAGTAAAAGCCGCAGCAATTTGGAAGTATGGGACACTGTCTGCAATTATCCCATTGTGTTATAATTAGTTTTTAATAAAATAGAATAGATAATTAATCTATGTAGGAAGATACTTTATTCATCATCATATTACTTTCTTACCGTCCATCATCTTGCTGGATAATTTTACATTAATAATCAGTTTTAAAATCTTTGTCAACCTAGAAATAAAATTTACAACAGTTTTACAAAGTATGATATATTGGAATATATTCTAGACAAGTCTAACCATATTAGGATATGTTTGATTGCAAAGATGGAATTGAATTGCCTAAAAATTATTTTCTTGTGAATTATAAATTATTGTGTTTGATTAGTTTAATTTTTCACTTGGAAAATGTTGAAATAAAATTATTTTTTGGTGTTCGTTTCGCTTTATTTTACATGAAAATCGTCAATTAAAAGGATAGATTTTATTAAAAAAACTGGAATTTGAAAAACCACCATACCAATGGAAATTCATTTTCCCCAAAATGCAAGAAAATGTGCACGTGTGGGGCAAAAGCAAGAAAAGGAATTGCCTAAAAAATTAGTCTATCAAACACTCAAAAATGTTGAAGTTGGAAAAGGATTTTCATTTTCCATGAAAAAGAATTCCTATCAAACATGGCTTTAGATTTACTCGTAAATGCCATATTAAAGAATATTTGGACAATTATATTATATTGATACTACATCTGCATGCAGTGGCAGATTTAATGGGCGGCGAGCTAGGACGACCGTCTTAGTTGGATTCGTCTGGAATTTTTTATTTTTTGTGCTGATAATAGATAGAATTTTTAGATTATATATTTGATAATTCATATTAACAACGAACATCTCTAATAGCTCATCTGTTTAGTTGTTCCACTATTGAATTCGAGGTCCTGTGTTTGAAACTCTTCAAGAGTAATATTTTTCATAATTTTTGTATTTAAACCATTTTTACTAAAACAAATGCAAGAAAGGTGATTCGAACCTACTATCTTCCTTAAACATATTGATCACTTTATCATCATGGCACTTATTAGTTTTTAGTGTATAATGTAACAAAATAATATATGTTTAATTTTACTGGTTTAATACAAGTAGAAACATTTTACCGATGCTTTGTCCCTCTACTTGATTTTCTTTTTCTTTTCATTTTTCTCCCCTAATCAATTGGTTTGGGAGTTCAGTCGATTAATGGTGGATGAATTTGTAGGAAAATTGTCCTTAGTGTTATAAGAAATCTTTCTACAAAACTTATTTAATTAATAAAAGGTTTCACTTTTCGTTCACAAAAAATTGATTGCGAAAAGGTGGAATCACACAAGCACATAAAATTGATATAAGCATACAAATAATTTCAATTTTGTTAATATAATAATATTTGTTTAATTAACTTTAATTGTAAATTGAATATTGACATTTTGTTAATATATATTTCTTATTTAATTGAAAAATAAATTAGAGCATTTTGCAGATTATGAAATGATTTTTTCATCCAAAATAAAAGTTCGTACTTAGTTCTAGTTCTAATGGTGTATCTAGTTCTTTTAATTCTAATATATACAATTTTTTGAATATTAATTAATTAAATATTAACGAAAAAATCCAACTGTCACGAACGTTGACCGTCGATAGTAAATTTTCAACGCTCGCGATCTGCCTTAGCTGAACTCCACTCCTAAATTCGCCACTGTGTGCATGGTATTGAAACACAATGGGATGAACACTTACATGATTTTTGAAATAAAAATATTACAATAAATTTATAAATTATGATTTGATTTTCCCTAAAACCAAAACTAATACAACTGCACATGCCTAGACATCATGATTCCATTTTCAGTCTCTTTACTCCAATTCTTATTCTAATATTTACCTTGTTTGTTTCCATTCACTGAATTGCTTTTCAATTCTTTACACCATTATCTTTATCTTTACAAGAAAAACACGTACAAAGACGTTTTTCCTTTTTTCCTATTCTGTTTATTTTCTTTGGTTTCTGGCTTTAAGCCTCGTCTGTTCGGGCACTCATTTTCCTTTACTTGAAAATATTGTTACCCCACATAAAACCCTCCTTTTGCCATTTTATTTATTTAATTTTTTTTTATCATTTTTAAATAATAGACTGGACCTCTTCTAAGAATTTTTTCGTCTTCAGAATGTTCAGCAGCATCTTATCTTCCATTCCAGTACAACGTAAAATGGAGTTTTTCCTTTTATTTCTGAAAACATTTTAGAAGAAATTAATTTGCACTTAGTTTTGGAGTAAAAATGTGCACTCATGTAGATCCAGCATTCCTCTCTCAACTGTTGACCAAATGCATTCGAATACTTCTCATCCGTCCTTTTCAAGAACCCAAGTCAATTCTACGTAATTGAATTTTAAAAATAAAGAGCCATTTTTTAAATAAAACTAATCATTGACATGAAATTTAAAGTACTACTTTCTATTTGAACAGAGCTCTCAACTACCTAAATACATTTTTATTTAATTACACTTGAATACTTGATTCTTTTTTGTTGGAATTTTACTTTTACTAATGCATCATATCGAGGCTCACTACCTACGATAGATAAGCATTTGTGATCCAGTAGTCAACTAAACAATTCAAGCTCCAAATTATCATATTTAATATATTCACTTATGCTTGGGAATATCAATGATCACAACTAGAAACCATCAAAGGGATATCTCATACATATTTACAGTTGGAGGCATATCCTGCGATTTGCCTTTCTCACGATATTCCAGGGCAGGGGCGGTGAGGGACCCTTAAGGTTGGGGTTCAGCCTTTAATTAACTCAAGTTGCCTAAAATGAATAATCCAAGAAAGGTCTAGAAAAGTAATGAAAGGGAACCGAAAGCTGCAGAGATTTTTTCCCATGTACCATGTTTACTTTATGTAGAACAAAGAAAAGTACTTATATCTTGCCGAATAAATTATATTTACTTCATACATATTGCCTGATTATATAGTACGAGTATTTAAAATCCAGAGTAGAGCATGAGACCAAACACTCTAATTTCCCCAGGATTTTATATTCGCTACTTCATTTGAATTTCTTTCCTCCTTTTAACCCTCGGAAGAGAGGAGAACCTTCGTCTATTGCTTATAATACAAATCTACTTAGGGCCACCTTTCCTTTTAAGTTTTGTACCTCCTTTGATTCAGAAGGAACGTAATCTTATGAGGGCCTGAATTTTGTTGCGATTCGCTCTATACCTCATTGATTGACTATGTAAGCGTGGAACTTTCTAGATTTAACTCCAAATGAGTATTTCAGCATATTAAGATTCATCCTATATTTTCGCAATATGTTGAAAGCCTCTTCCAAATATTTTAAATAGTCTCCAACCTGAGGGTTTTGCAAAATTATGTCATCAATGTATACTCCCACCATTTTTCCTATCTGATCTAGAGACATTTTTTCTCTAACCTTTGGTACGTAATCTCAACACATATATATAAAATCTATCTTTAGGACAAACTTTATTCAAGTCCATAAAACTTTGGCACGTTCTATATTTTCCATCGCTTTTTGGTACTAGAACTTGATGACATAACCATACTGGATATTAAGCTTCGTAAATAAAAGCATTTTTTTAATAGTTTATCCACCTTTGTATTAGGCTTTATTTTTGCATGAAAGGTGACTTTGGAATCTATCCCCATCATGTCAGCATGTTTTCAAGCGAACATACTTAGGTTCGCAGTCAGGATGTTTTTTAACAATCCTTTTATACGTTCACTCAAGTCCTTGCCAATTTTTAAAGCTTTACTCACGTCTTCTGAGCTAATGAAAAAGTTTTCTAACTTTTCGACCGTAGTTGCTTCTCACATAAAATCAGTTATATAGAGTCATCAATCTTCAGTTTGTCCCCGGGTTTACTCGCTCTAACTATGACAATGATATTCTTAAGAGCTTTCAGGTCTCATTCTTTAGTACTTTTATGGTTAATACATAGATTTCCTTGATTATACTTTAAGAACATTTCACCTTTATTCATAGAATAACTCACATGCGATTGACAGAGGAAGATGATTATATATTCCTGCTTAAAGCAGTTGCCCAAGGATTTCATCGTATACAAATTGATCCTTGATGATGTTGAAATTAATATACCCTTGTTATGCCGAGAGAATCTCTCCTACCTTCACTAACAGAGTCGCATGTCCTTGTGTCAATGTACTAATTGGATTGAAGAGTAAGTATTTATAGTATAAACACTACAACAAAAATACCTTTTGGCAACATGCAAAAGGCAATATTCACTAATTAAACGTTGCTACATGGGTTTATTGCAACATTCTAATAAGTGAATGTTGCCATTGGTGTTAACAATTGAGATTTGGCAACATTTTTAAATGAATATTGCTAATGTCGCCTTTTTGCAAGGTTTATTTAGTGTTGTGAAAAGTTTTATCTTTTGCAACGTTTATAAAACGTTGCAAAAAGGTTACTTTTTTTCGCAACGTTCGTAAAATGTTGCAAAAAAGTTTCTCTTTCGCAATGTTCGTAAAACGTTACAAAGGCTTTCTCTTATAAATGTTGCAAAAAATTTTTTTTTTTTTTTACAACGTTTATAAAATGTTGCAAAAACGTTTCTCTTTTGCAACTTGACTTTCTCTTTCGCAACGTTTATAAAACATTGCAAAAACATTTCTCTTTCGCAACGTTTAAAAAACATTGCAAAATGCTTTCTATTTCGCAATGTTTATAAAATGTTGTTAAAAGCTTTCTCTTTAGCAACATTTAAAAAACGTTGCAAATAGCTCACCAGCCCAGGCCCCAAATTTTCTTTTAGCCCACCATTACCAGCAGCCCAACTCAAGAGTAAACCTAAAATCCAATCCAATATATCTGAACCCTCACCAATCACACATTCATCAGCTGACTTGTGAGAACGGACGATTACGAAGGCACGGTGACTTTGAATTTTTCTCTCAGCCTCTCATTGTCTCACTCTCATCTTTGCGAGCCCTCGATATGGTGCCGCCTGCGTCGGCTTTCTTCCATCGACACCATTAGTGGAAGCCAAATCCCAATTCATCAAATCACGATTACTTCAGTCTCAAATTATACCTTAATATCCTCTCTCGTCCCTATTAGTTGCCACTGCTAAAGAGGTACTCATTTTGTTTATATTATTTTCTTGTTCTTTTAAAATATTTTAAGATGGATAATCTGATTTGGGGTGAGCTGTGGAGCCGGAGGGTTTTGTGCCTTCACGTCATGTGCTGGGTTGTGGGCGGTGGGATTATTTTCAAATTTTGTTAGGATTAGAGAATCGCGTTATGGGATTATGATTTATTGCTCAAATATTGAATGGGATTGGGATTATATTGAATGGGATTCTAGGAATAGGATTATTGCTAACATATTCTAATTCCTTTTAAGTATTGAATGGGAATCCAAAATGAGATTAGGATTTAGGATTACATTTAATTTGTGTATTATAACTTAAAAGCTAAATATAAACAACTAGTTTGGTAAATCTGAGTGTTTGCTTCTAAATTTTCCAACGGTTTTAAGAAATTTTGGGTAAGTGAATGAAAATTTCTAATTTCCCTTTTGCTAGAACAATATGTATAATGCTTAGCCATATATGATAGTACAATAATTTCCCTTTTGCTGCAACAAACAGAAATTTTATTGTTTGGCATCATCATTAAACAACAAAAGATAGGGACTGCTGCATGTTAACAATTACCTCATTAAATGGCCATAAATTGCAACTCATGCAGGAGATAGATTATTCCCTTATTAAAATACTTTTGAGGTCCGATTAATTTATTTTTACCATTTACAAATTTGGTTGTGTAAACATGGCTTGTTAGTTTTTGGCATAATATCGAGAAGTAGCTACGCTTGCTCTATTTGGGTAAGATATTATGCTACAACTCAAGCTCCCTAATGGCCTCCCATTTCTTGCTTACTTCTCTATTTAAGTTGGGATGAGACTTTTCATGAGTTTCTTTTCTTCATTCTAGGCTCACAAGTTGTGAAGATAACAAATTCATTTCTTTCCCAACTTAAATGCCCCATGGCAGGCACATTCTACAGAAGTCTAGCACTTGGTGAACCACCATTCATGAAGGTAATTGATATAAATTTGATGATGGAAAAAGAAAAAAATGAAGGTAAGGACGGATTTTTATTTTTAAGGTAGATGAACATATCAATTTTTTGTATTTTTTGTAAACAACATATGCTCAGAAGAAATTATCTTGTCATTAGCTTTACCCCTGCTTAGACTATTTCAATGCTTTATTTCTTCTTTCACAGTTCAAGACTTCACATCTCTCTGCATTCGCATCATTACATGGTTATATTATATAAACTGCAACTGAGTAGCTGCATTTTCATGGTCATGTTATTCCAGCACCATAATTTATGCCATATATCAGCTGCTAGATGACACTATATCAGTGTTGATACTTTGAGTTCTCTAGTCTAATTGTCATTGGTTGATGGCATAAGTGATATGCTATTTTAATCTCTCTTCACTTTAAGTGTATCCTGATTTTTCTTACACTTGTTTACAGCCTTTGTTTTTTATTGAACCATAAAGCAGACAGAGTTAGAAGCGTGGAATAAGATGCTCTGTCTTATATTTAAGGGGGTGATTACGCCCAAAGAATAATGCGAAGTTGCAGTATAGCTTTGGGGTGTCATATCTACAGAGAGATGGAAAATAATCCAAAAAATCAAAAGTTGGGGTTTTGTTGTGATTTTATGTGAATGTAATGTGTCAATTGAAATAGAATTCAAATAATAATGTATAAGTTAAGGAAATTTAAACCAATGTGTGAAGCAGTGAAGCGCTGAAATTCCCTCGATTAGATTGGATCAATCAACGTCAATTTTGCATGAAGATACTCAATTAAAGGTTTTTTTTATCCTAACACTTTAATTGGAAGATTTACACATTCAAAGCCCTCTTTAATTCCAAATCTAAATTTCTTGTACAACATAATTCCACAATTGTTTATTAAAATTAGATCAAAAATCGGTCATATACTTCAAGCAAATGATAGTAAAAGATCACACTAATAAACGGTTTGAAATTGAAAATCAATAAATATTTCGATCATTTGATAAAAAAAACTTGATTGAAATCATGAAAATCTAATATGAATTAACCCAATCTCAAACATGCCCAACAAGTATAAGAAATCTAATTTCAGAATTTTTAACAATGAAAAAACAAATTACATGAAAGAAAGAACGTTGAAAAAATCAAATCTAACCGGATTCTTTCATAGCTTCACCAATTAATTTAGTTTTCCGTAGATTTCTTGAGCCAAACTTGAGAGAAAATTGATAGGAGATGGAACAAACGTGTTCTGGTCGAGATTAAGGGTTTAAAAGTCGTGTGAAAACTTTTTACCGTAAGTCTTGGAGTCAATTTAGGAAAATGAAATTTTTCATCTCGAGAAGCACCTATGCGACCGCATAGTTATAAGCCATGCGGTCGCATAGTACATTACGGCCATGACTTCCTTGGAATGGTGGATGCGACCGCAAGGAATTTACTCTATGCAACCACATTGTTTCCCATTTTCTCAAGTCGGATAACTTTCAGTATTTTAGTCATAACTTTCTCTCTCGATATCCGATTGAGGTGATTCAAATTGCGTTAGAAATTTAACTCAAAGGAATACAATTTTGATTCAGTTATCATCTTCTCATTTGATTGTTTTCCATGTCAAAAACAGGTCCCAATATGAGGCTGAAAACGGTACGTAACTTTTTTCAATTGGGAATTGATGTACGATCAAACATTGACGTTATTTCATCCTTTTGACTTCTTTTCTCATCCACTTGACCTCTAATACTTTCGAATATTCATCATAAGGTTAGACACAAGTTTGGAGTATTTGTATTTTGGTCCCTGAACTTTCACTTACTTCCATTTTGGTTCATTTTCGCTCTTTTCTACCAAGTTTCACATTTTCTACCAAAATGCAACTTGAATCATAACATAAGTATAATGAGTTTATTTTGACATCAAATAATCATACGAATACAACAATTAAGAGGGAAAAATGTCATATTTTACACTGTTATTACACCCCCAACTTGCTTATTACTAGTCCCTAGCAATTCAATGTAAAACAATCAAATGAAGTATTAGACCGTAATATAAATGAAATTATTAAGTTCCAACTTAACTGGAATTCATGCTCTTTTCAAACTCAACACCACAAGAACTTAATGATGCCATGATCATCAAGATATCAAAAACACTTGCCAAATGTGTGAGTGTGTGTCAAGCGATGGCCATCTTGCTGCCAACCCTAACACATGCAACATCAAGTATGTCTCAAGCTGAATGTTCAATCCCACAACTCATGGGTATCAAAGTGTTTAGTATGGCTTTCTCTCTATGGAGCTGAGAAAGGGATACACTCAAAATTTGGAGGCTTAAATGTTTATGAATGAGCAACAAGCAAACATTGATCTTATGACAGACATGCTGTCAAATGAAAATTCATCACTTTCTTACCACAATCATACTTAGGATCAAAACAGTCAAAGTAAAAGGTTTGTAATATGGTGCAAGTTGGATTATATGAAAAGAGGGATATAAAGATCCAGACACTTCGAAGTACATAGCTAAGTATATTATCACACATTTCAACAGTTCACCCTTTTTAATGAATGCATTCTTCCATATTTCAATTCCCAAAATCAATAAGTATTTTCTTCTATACCCCACTTTTTTTCTTTTTTTTTTATCCGTCTTGCTTGAGTACATACTAACTCTTGTCATTTTCTTGTTTCTATTTTTCACAAATAAACATTTAATACCTACTACACACTTGGAAGTAAAAATGTGAAAAAATACATGTATAGGCTACTTTCCAGTATAGAGAAGTATGTATAACATGAGTGTATGAAGAAAAGACTATATAAGTGTTTATGGCTCAACATGGCTTCTAGAGGGTTGTAATTATTGAAAAAGAAGGTGTGAAAAGCTTATATATTAATCCTAAATTGACCTTTATCATTTCCCAATTAATCCACCATCTTACCATGAACCAATTGTTCTCAAAATAGTTTCCAATTCACAAAACTAATGAATGCTTATTGCTTTTTTAGTTTAAGGTGGCTCTCGATCCTCACTAATTTTCACAAGAAAACTTTAGCAAGAAACTCCTCTAGTTAAATGTGTTAAACTACTATCTTAGTACAAGGTTTATGTGCACAAAATGATTCAGCAAATGTCTCAACATCTAGACGCATATGAACAATATTAACTCCTAGTGGCATATTTTGTCATTCAAGAACATAAACATGTAGCTAATTAGGGACTCAAAAAAATTTAAACCAAAATTCCATGTAAATCATTCAATTCATAACAAAATTTAAGTTAAACTCTTCCCCCAACTAAACATTGCATTGTTCTCAACGCAAAAACATGTCTGTCATATAAAGGTAAGGAAAGATATCACCTAAGTGCCTAAGTGAATCACATGAGCTAAAACATAAACTAAAAAAATGCAAAACACACTAAAAAAATTTTGAAACTAATATACAGAAACACAAAGTGAAAAACGTACTTAAAGGGTGTTATGGGTGGTAAACCGGGTCTGCAAGAGAAATTTCTTCCAATGCAGGGACCTGTTGTGCATACAGTATTTTGAGTCTCTGTGCATTCACTTTGAATACCCTACAATCATTAGGGTCCTCAATTTCAAACGTCCTATTTTCAAAAGCTCGTGTTACTATAAAGGAGCCAGTCTACCTAGAGCGGAGTTTTCTCGGGTATTTGTGAAGTCTAGAATCATACAAATACACTTTCTGGTTTAGTTGAAAAGTTTTTCTCACAATGTTTTTATCGTGAAATGCTCTCATTTTTTACTTGTAGATTCTAGAACTTTCATAGGCATCATTTCTTAACTTCTCTAACTCACTCAATTGAAATTTTCTATGTTTACCTCCATCTTCTAGATCAAAGTTGAAGTGTTTAATGGCCCAAAAGGCTCGATACTCAAGTTCGATAGGCGAATGGCAAGACTTTCTAAAGATTAGTCTATAAGGTGACACGTCTAGGAAAGTCTTAAAAGTTGTACGATAAGCCCAAAGTATATCATTCAATCTCAACGATCAATCCTTATGATTAGGGTTCAACGTTTTTTTCAAATTTTGTTTAATTTTCCTATTAGCCAATTATATTTCTCCACTAGTTTGTGGTTGATAAGAAGTGGAAATTTTGTGAATCATCCCATATTTTTTTCATTAGTGCCTCGAATGAACAGTTGCAAAAGTGTGGGCCTCTATCATTAATGATAACACGTGGTTTACCAAATCGAGACATAATATTTTCTTTAAGGAGTTTAACAATCGTTTTATTCTCAATGGCTCTACAAGCAACCGTCTCTATCCACTTAGACAAGTAGTCTATAGCCACAATGATGTATAAATAGCCAAAAGAGAGTGGAGAAGATCCCATAAAGTCAATGCCCCAACAATAAAAAACTTTAACTACCAAAATTAGATCTAAAGGCATCATATTACAATGGAAAATAGCACCTAGTTTTGGACACCTCTCATAAGATTTACAATAGGCATCAGTGTTTTTAAACAAGGTGGACCAATAAAAACCACATTGCAAAATTTTTGCAGCACTCTTTTTCATAGAAAAGTGGCCCCCACAAGCTTGGATATGGCAAAAATCTAGTACACTGATTATCTCCTCATCAAGAATACATCGTCTCAATATTTGATCGGGCCAATACTTAAATAAACAAGGGTCATCCTAATAAAAGTTATGTACCTCAACCAAGAATTTTCTCTCATCCTGTACACTCCACTCCTTTGGGATTTCACCTGCAGCCAAGTAATTCACAATATTAGCAAACCATGGTAGAGAAGAGATAGTAAATAAATTTTCATTAGAAAATTCATCTCTAATTGGCAAGGTGTTTGATTTGTCTTCAAAGGTCAGTCTTGACAGATGGTTTGCTACAACATTTTTCACTCTCTTCTTATCTTTGATAATGATGTCAAATTTCTACAAAAGCAAGATCCAACTTATTAGTCTTGCCTTAGCATCCTTCTTTTCAAGAATGTGTTTAAGGACTGCATGATTTGTGAAAATTGTAATAGGAGAGCCAATTAAATAGGATCAAAACTTATCAAGCGCAAATATTACCGCTAGTAATTTTTTTCAGTAGTGGAATAATTTATTTGAGCACTATTTAGAGTTCTACTAGCATAGTAAATCACAAAAGGCTTACCTTCTTTTCATTGCCCTAGAACAGCATCATAAATGATTTCAAATGGTAATGTCCAATTAGTTGTTTGTATTATGGGTGCAGAGTTGAGTTTACCATTCAACAATTCAAATGCATTTGACATTTAGGTATCCATTCAAAAGTCACATCTTTGTTTAGCAAGTTGCATAGGGGTCTATATACGGATGAGAAATTTTGTATAAACCTCTTATAAAAACCTACATGACCAAGAAATGATCTAGTGTTCTTTACTGTCTTAGGTGTAAGTAATTTAGAGATCAATTCAATTTTTGACTTGTCTACTTCTATTCCTTTTGAAGAAATAACATGTCCTAAGACAATACTGGAAGAGACCATGAAATGATATTTTTTTCAATTCAAAACTAAGTCTTTTTCTTCACATCTAGCCAATACTTTTTTCAAATTTAACAAGCATGTATCAAATGAGGTCCCAAAAACAATCAAGTCATCCATAAAAACTTCCATGCAATCCTCTGCCATATCACTAAATATACTCATCATGTATCTTTGAAATGTGGTAGGGACATTGCAAAGTCCAAATGACATTCTACAAAATGCATAGGAACCAAAAGGACACATGAATGTGGTTTTTTCCTGATCTTCTAAACCAATCTCAATTTGATAGTATCCTGAATGGCCATCTAGAAAACAGTAAAAGGGATGACCAGCCATATGTTCAAGTATTTGGTCCAAAAAGGGAAGGGAAAAATAGTCCTTGTGAGTGGCAGCATTTAACTTCTTATGATCAATGCACACGCACCAACCAGTTACCGTTTTTTGTAGGGACCAATTCACCTATTTCATTTTTTACTACAGTGACACCTGACTTCTTGGGGCTACCTATGTAGGGCTAACTCATTTACTATCTGCAATTAGGTAAATGATTCCTGCATCTAGCAATTTAAGCACCTCATTCTTTACCACTTTTTTCATTGTGGGGTTTAGCCTACATTGTGTGTCTCTCCTAGAATTAGTCCCTTCCTCTAGATAAATCCTATGTGAACAAATTAAAGGACTAATACCTTTGATGTTGGCTATGGTCTACCCTAATGTAGATTTGTGTTCATTCATAATGCTTAAAAGTTGTTTACATTGTAATGCATCCAATTCTGACGAAATAATGATAGGAAAGGTATTACCTGGTCTAAGAAACACATGTTTCAGTCCTATAGGAAGTTGTTTCAATTTTGACCTAGGGCTTTCAATACTTGATGGTTTCTGTCCTCCGGTCCTTTCTGGCAATTTCTCAAACTTGGGTTGCCATGGTGAAGTCCTTTGGTCCTGGAATTTTTCAAAAATAGTACAAATGTTAGCATACTCATCAACATCAAAACCACATGAAATTTTATAATTTAGGAGAAAAGAGTTCAAAAGATCAGAATCAATTGTTGTGGATGCTTCCTTTTGAGTAAATGCATCAATCATGTAGGTTTAATGGCATTCATCATCTTCTGTAGGTTGTTTGGTGACATGGAAAATATTGGCATCTATAGTCATATCTCCATATGTCAGTTTCATCAGACCATTCCTGCAATTGATAAGAGGATTAGCTGTAGCAAGGAAAGGTCTACCAAGTACAATAAGGATTTTAGAATTAATATCTACCTCAACCTTCACATCTAATACCAAGAAATCAATGGGGTAGTAAAATTTATCAACCTAAACTAACACATCCTCAACTACTCCCCTTGGTTGTATGGTGGACTGGTCAACTAATTGTAGAACCACTGAGATAGGTTTCATCTCTCCTAGACCTAACAACAAGTATATAGCATAGGATATGAGGTTGACACTAGCTCCTAAATTAAGAAGGACTTGTGCAAACTCACGATTCCCAATGACACAAAAAATGGTAAGACGATCAGGGTCCTTATAATTTGGTTGGATTTTTTTGTTCTATCACGGTACTCACTTGCTTGGTCAAGAAGGCAGTTTTTTTGGTATGATGCTTCCTTTTTACAATGCATAAATCCTTAAGGACTTTAATATATGTAAGAACTTGAGAGATCACATGCAAGAGGGGCAAATTGATTTTGACTAGTCTGAGGTGTTCTAGGATATCATTATACTGACCTGGTGATTTCGATGTGGACTTGAGAGCTTGAGGGAAAGGTATTCTAGCTAGGTTTTCCACTACTTCCTCATTAGGACTGCTCTCATTAGACTTACTTGGCTCTTTTTTGTTCTCTCTAGGTGGAAGGGTAGCTTCTACAATCTTCCCTAATCTAATGATTATGGTATTCACCTTTTTAAAATTGGTCTCTTCAGATCCCGAGGTTTGTGCCATGTGCTGCCCTTTGGGTTTAGTTAAGCTTGAGTTGGAAACTTCTCACGTTCTCCTACAGCTAAGGCATTGGTTAACTTAGACATATGATTCTTTATCTCTTTGTTTTCCTAGACTACAAACCTATTATGGATGATTCAATTCGGAAGGTGAGTCTCGACAATACATCTTTTGATGATATCTAGCATGTTGGTGAGGATAGGAGATGACAGAGAAAGAGGACAGTGAAGAAAAGCAAGTTTTTTATTTATTATTATTATTATTTTTTTAACAAGGCTAAGTTAGACATTTTCTAGTTAGGACACCTTCTCAGTTCGGCTAGAGAACAAAGACCTATTTAGCTTATCTCAGTGAAAAAGTTTTCTTACCATAGCAATATAAATACTTATGACTTTTCCAATTTCTTTCCAGATAAACGATGAGATTCAATCGGCAGTAGAAAAGTTGGTTTCTAGAATTGGTGAGGACTTAAACAATGATCCAGATTATATAGGGAGGGAAATTAAAGGAAAATAAAGTACTGACATTAAAATTGCTCTAGTCGATAATGTAACGAAGGATCCCGTTGACTTTGGGCCTGAATCCTCCTGGACAAATGTGTAGAATATTTATAGGAGAATTCCTGTCTAGGCCTACCAAAATCCGATCATGATCGTTTGACTAATTGAAGTAATACCAGGCAATTTTATCGTTTAAGGACATGGCATATGAAGTGCACATACTAAAAAATATTAAACCTATTAGATGGAACTTGGAAGGTTATATATATATATATATATAGCCACAATTTTATGGTTACAGACATAAATGGGGGAAAGCTTTAGAATTTGGCACTTACAACAGAATAATAAACAAAATAGGTAAATATTTGGAAGCATACTACAATAAAAATGTGATTAGGGATGTTTTAGATCAAAATTATGCTCGAAGTATAGACGCCTTATCAAGAAGAAAACAGAAAATGGACATTTATATTCCTCTTCTTACTAGTAAAGAACAACTAGCAGATTCTTTGACAAAAGAAGTGCAGAGACCTTTATTCACCTCAAAGAAGAAATGATAATCCTCATTTTATTTATTTGTTTATTTATTTTTGCATATCTACTTTGGCTTACTAACTCTTTGAAGAGTGTACTCTACAAATGCAAGACTTGCAATTCTTTGGAGATTGCCACTAATTTTTTGGCTTACTACTAGATTACTGCATAAAAAAGGACTTGCAATTGTTGAGAGCAATGAGGGTTGGGGTGAGTTGCACATGACACTAAAGCTTGGTACAAGGGCATCTTGAAATATCATTAGTTTCATTTCAATATGAATTAGATGAAGAGAAGTTGGTTATGTTTTTCAGTGGCATGGTTGCATTTTTTATATTATGCATTCAAGTGTATAGGAGAATATTTTCATGCTTCACATTATGTATTCAAAAATTTGTAATAAAATTATCAATTTTTATACAATTCCAAAATTTATCATTTTCAATTTTGCGAGTCAATTTACGTAAAAATAAATAAATAAATAAAAAATAAAACCATTGCAGAACACTTACGGCAACGTTTTTTAAACGTTGCCGTATTACTTCACTCTACGGCAACACTAAGGTTTGCAACATACTTCCAAACGTTGCAGAAAGCTGTTTCTGTAGTTAAATCTAAAGAAATAAGATTACAGAGATTGAAATCATCTTAAACTACAAACGTACTCTAAACATGAGGAATAAGATTACACAGTTTGAATACAAATCTAACAACAACAGTCTAACGAGTTAATTATATCCAATGAGGTTTATCGTCTTATTGTGAAACTCATCCTTCAATCAACCCAATAGTGTGGCGTCATCGAAGTCAATGACTTATCCTTGAAACAATTCAAGCTCCAAATCATCATATTTAAACTCGGGCTTGAATATCAATTTTGAAAACTGTTCCACCAAATGAGTGAAATTGCTTTTCATTCATGCACGTTTAATTCAATAATTACGTATGCGTGCCAAGACGTCTCAGCAGTTGGAACAAAAATTTCACTTTGATTGGCTCCCCTTTGTGCTGCCAATTAAATTGGTAAAAAGTTCCATAATTAAGTTTTTTATTTTGTCCTTTACAAACTTCAATAATTTTTCTTACTAATAGTAACCCATATAGAAAAATATCTACATAGAAATCGTAATTAACTCAAGAGGTTTACTATGGAGAATTAAAGAAAAGTCTTGAGATGTAATGAGAAGGAAGTAAAGAATGACTTAAATGTGTACACATTTAACTTTAAGTAGAATAGAGAAAAGTTTGACACCTTTCCCAATAGATTATACTTAATCTATGCTTTATGTTAATAGTATGATATAAGAATTTGAAATCCATAGTCTATAAATAGAGTGCAGGGACGAGAGGAACCACACATCTCTCCCAACTAACCACTCCTCTCCCAACTAACTATAATATCTCATCCCGCTCATTCCAATGATCCATCCCAAACTGAGGTCAAATGCTCTAGTTTCCCCAAGGATTTTATTTTCGGTGGTGCAACATCGGCATATTAGGTTTGTAACTAATTTTCCAAGGAGTTTATCTGCAGTGCTATAACACTGGCGTATCAAGTGAGTAATTGGTATGTTTTAGTATGTTGCATCAGGCAGATTTGGATAGAAAAATGACAAACCGTACTAGTCGTTAATCTTGTTAAACACTATTAAATGCACCTTATAAAACAATCCATTATTGTTTAGAATAATGAAGATTTGCTAAAACCATCATGTGGGAGTGTATATGTTAGAAGGTCCATCACATGTAATTTAACTTTCTTGAGTTTTTAAGTTACGAATGTATAATTTATTTCAGGTAGAAGGTGCTTTGAAGGTCTCTTCAATCTCTCTCTTTCTAGTCTTCTGTGTTTAAAGTCGGTAAATATAAAATATAAATTAACATAAAAGAGCTCAGCTACTCCTATATATAAGGTTGTCCACTTGAGATGCAATCTCTATTCTAAATACCATATCATCGTCCAACAAGCTCAAACAAGTAACTTGATCCATTTCACTCTCAAACAAGCATTCGGATTCGAGGATTGATGTTTTTTAACGAGTTATTATCCTGTGGAGGCTTGTTAAGTGTATAATATCTTATCAATTAAATATCAATCAACTAAAAAAAGGCTTGTGACACAATATATATTTTTTATTTTTAAGTCTTGTTTGGGATGGATTAAAATCCAAATTTTAATATAAATCAAATTTACCAATTAACCTTAATATAATATTTCATGAAACCCATAATATTATAACTTTTATCAAAATCTATTAAAAATCTAATTTTAGTCCCTATCAAACAAAGGTAAAAATCACTATAGATTTGAACCTTTTTCTCTTTTCTCTTTCTGTCTCTACTCCCTTCCCCGTGCCTTTTATCAAATCCTTAACTCTTCTAATTTTGGTGATGTCTTTTAACTTTTGCATGTTTAATTTCGACTCTATGCTAGGCTAATTTTTTAATATTGTTAGGATGTGATGAACCATTGTTATGAAGTTCTTAGTTTGAATAATTAATTTGACGATAATTTGTTTAATTGTTTGGATGTTTATAATTGTTTCGTTTGCTTTTTAATTAACTGGCCATTAATTTAATTGTTTGTGGGTGTTATTGTCATCGAGAGAGATAATAAGATCATTAGCACATAATAATAAATATTGTAAGGTTCGATAGAGGATAGAGATATACATGTATGCTTCACATGATTTTTATGGATGTTTTAGCTCGTTGAATGCTTTCTTGCACATTCGTATTTTTCATAGAGATATAGGAAAATCACGTGTAGGATTAGATTTAAAGGCTATCAAGAGAAACTTTTAAATGAAATAGGAATATTAACCAACAAACATGATTTCAAATTGTCAATTTAAATTGTTGAACTAAAATTGAGTCGCAAGGGGAATTTCACATCTTAGCAACACTTCTCGCGAATTTGATAAACTTTTACTTTGCTTTCTATTTAGTTGATAGATTTAATAGTGTTAGTTACAACTCGACTTTACTATCTATTAAGGGAATTATTTGCTTTAACTCGATCAAACACATAGTCCTTATAAGTTCGACACTCTACACACCACTTTATTACTTTTTTACGATCCCGTTCACTTGCGGGTAATAAAAAACGATCAAGTTTTTGGCGCCATTGCCGAGGATTATAGTTTTTTATAATTTAACTAATTTACCTTTAATCTGAATTTAATTTTAATTTCAATTTCAATTTTTTTTAGTTTAATTTATTAATTTAGAAAAATGCTATAGTGTTTTCTATTTTTCCTTTTCAGGACTTTGTATGCAAATTTGAAGAACCGGAGATCTTACTTAATTTGATTCGGTAATCGAGAAAACGTTCAAGTCAAGGAGAAGAGAACAATTAGAAGCACACCAAAAACAGCAAGCAGAGCTCATAGCGGGACAAAATCTGAATCAAATAACTATCGAGGCTAATCTGGGTGTAGGGCAACAAAATGAAGTTGCAGCCAATGAAAACATTAGGTTGATGGGAGAGTATATGGTTCCACCGACCATGAAAAACCAATCCAGTATAGTATATCCAGCATTTGGTCAACCAAATTTTCACTTGAGGACAGATGTGATCAACACATTCCAAAATGCACTGCAATTTTTTGGGAAACCTACTGAAAATCTCAATGCTCATATCTCAAGATTTTTGGACATGTGTGCGACAATTGATTCTCCAGGTGTTTCAAGTGAAGCAATTCGACTGAGGTTTTTTCCTTACACTTTAAGAGATTCAACTAAGGAATGGTTGGATACTTTTCCTCCACACAGCATTACTAGTTGGAATAGTCTGAGCCAGAAGTTCCTGAACAAATATTTCCCACCTAAAAGATTGCCAGGTTGAGGGACAAAATCACCACATTTTCTCAACATGACTCGGAGTGCTATTATAAAGCTTGGGAAAGGCAAAAGCGGCTTCTCCATCAGTGTCCACAACATGGATTGCAAAAATGGCTCCAGATACAATATTTCTACTTTGGGCTAAATTTGACAAGCAGGGCTAATGTTGACTCCGCATGCGATGGTTCCATCACAAAGAGAACAGCGGATCAAATATATCAAATCATGGAGGATTTAGCATTCACTAGTGCACTATGGCCTATGAAAATAACAAGTGTAAAGAAAGTAGCTAGGATACATGAGTTAGATCCATCAACAGCAATCTCAGCACAGCTAGCAGCTTTAGCTAAAATGGTGGATCAGATGAATGTCATTCAAACAGTCGGACAAAAATGCAAGGACCGTCTAGGAAATCATGAAAGTGTTGATTGCACCGTGGGTACTCCTTTTGCTCAATCACTAGAGGATGTAAATTATGCTCAAAAATTTCAACGACAGCAACACAATCAGAATCCCAACACATACTACCCAAGCTGGAGAAATCACCTAAGTTTTCAATGAGGTAATAATCAAGGAGCTCAGATTGCACCAAAATAGACTGCATTGTCAGGTTTTCAGTAGGCTGAAAAATAAGTCTTCATTGGAAGATCTTGTTACTAAATTGGCATGGAGATCTCTACTCAACACATGCAAAGAACAGACAAGACTTTGCAAGTTCAGGGAGCTATCATCAAGAATTTAGAAAATCATATGAGACAAATAGCAAAAATACTCTCAGAAAGACAGCAAGGAGCATTGCCAAGTGACACTGAGATAAATCCTAAACAACAGGTAATAGCAGTAAAAGTTGTAGAAAATAAGGAGGGTGGGGCAATCACTACACGCAACGAGGTTTAACTTCCAAAAATTACAGTTGAGAGATGGATGATAGAAAATAAAAAGGTACCTTTTACAAATGAGGAGTCGGTGGATAAATCTGAACAACTAGATAAAGTAGTTTCATCTTAAGAGCTAGAAAATCTACAGGTCAAGATAACCATTGCTATTAAACCTTATGTGCCTCCGGTCCCATTTCTGTAGAGATTACAAAAAAGGAAGTTGGAACATCAATTTGCAAGGTTCTTAGACATCTTCAAGAAGCTTAATATCAACATCCCACTGATTGAAGCTATGTCTCAAACACCGAACTATGCAAAGTTTATGAAGGAAATCCTATCAAAAAAGAGAAGGCTTACAGATTTGGAGACCATCAAGTTAAATAAGGAATGTAGTACCATCTTGCAGAACTAATTAACTCTTAAGCTACAAGATCCATGGAGTCTCAAAATATCTTGCTCAATAGAGAATGATTCGAATTTTAATTGTTTATGTGACTCAGGAGCAAGTATAAACCTAATGCCTTTCTGTGTATATAGGAAATTAGGATTGGAAGAGCTAAAGGACACATCCATCTCTCTTCAACTGCCAGAC